CGTCGTGTGGGGCCAGCCACTGCGAGCACCAGCTGAAGGCCCAGCTCAGCGAGGCAGTGGGGCAGGTGTGCAGCCCGGGTGGCGTCGGGGACAGGGCTCGAGCCTCGCCTTAGCAGGAAGTTACTGGGTGGTAGGGGAGAAGGGAGGCTGAGCAGGAGGAACTGGGGATGTCTCAGTGGGTGCTCGGTACTAACCCCTCGGCAGAAGGGTGCGCAGGGCAAGGGCTCCTGCAGTCAGCGCATAGGGCACATGCAAGACCCCCATCCTGGCGCCGAAGGTCCCCTGCTCTGGAGATGCCCCTAGATGGGCCCGAAGTGCTGCAAGAAGGAAAAGCTCCCTTGTCGCAAATCAGTCCTTCTCCCCAGGGCAGTGCTGAGTGGCCGGTCCTTGCGCAGACCCTGAGATCATCCCATTGCAGCAGCAAGAGATCTTCCCCCATCAACAGTCCCACAGGCATCTTGCTGCTCAGATCTTGGAGGACTCCACCCGCTCGATCCAAGGCGAGTCGGCTCCCATGTCCCTGGGCTCTGACCGCAGCTGCCGCAGCTCTCGCTCCAGTGCCTGGCTCCGGTGGTACATCTCCATGTAGCTGGCCTGGAGCTCCCGCTGGTACCGCAGCACCTTCTCCTTCTCCTCCTGCCAGGTTTTCCTCTCCAGCTCAAAGTTCACGGCCTGCAGCTGGCCCTGGCGCCGCTCACGCAGCAGCTCTGCCCACAGCCACTCCACTTGCCTCTCCAGGGGCTCCGCGCTGTCGCTGTGGAGGCCCCGGCACTTGGAGTCATCAGTCTCACAGCCAGGGAAGTCCTGGCAAGCCGGCATGGGATCATCGCCCAGCGGCAGCGAGGCACCGGGCTCTGGGGTGCTCTGGAAAGAGTCTGCCAGTTGTGCCAGCTGGGAGTCCCGGGCCTGTACCTCAGCCTTGGCCTCCCGCAGCTGTGTTTTCAGGCTGAAAATCTCACCCAGCTTCTGAGCCATCTCCTCCTGGGTGTCTCGGAGCTGCTGCTTGAGCAGGGCGATCTCAGCTGCCTTCTGGCACACCTACAGGGCACACACGAGGAGTGAGGAAGGGCCTAGGGAGTGGGATCTTCCGCACTTGCCAGACACCCCCAGGGATAGCAGCAGCCCCAGTTGTCACCACAGCATCACGGAGAGACCAGGAGCACCATGCATGGTTCATCCCTCCATCATGTGGCCATGAGCGACAGCACTGCAGGGAATTACTGCCCTGGCCCTGGCTCAGGAGCCACAGAGGAGCACAGTTCGGCCAAGCAGAGAGCTGTCGCCCACAAGCAAGGCTGACAGCAAGAGGGTGGCAACGGGGAGAGGAGGAAGGGAACTCACCTCCCACTTGGCCTCCTCCATCTTGGGGCTGACACGCTCACCCTGGGACTGCCGGAGCTTGGACTCCTCGCACTGGCACTGCTGCATGCTCAGCTCCTCCTGCAGCCGCTTCTTCTCTTGCTGTGCCTTGTAGAGCTGCAGCTGCAGCGCCCGCTGGCCGCGCTGGGCCTGCTGCGTGACCTGCTGCAGCCTGGCCATGTACATCTGCTTCAGGTCCTCCAGCTCGTCCAGCCACAGCCGCTGCTTGTCCTCAAACACCTGCCAGCACAAGTGGACGCTGATGGGGGTGTGTATCCCTGCGCCTGTGCAGGGCAGCCCCAGAGAAGGATCCCAGAAGGTCCTAAGGACCAACTGCTCCTCTCGGGAACCCAGCGCCCCTCCTGGGCCAGGCCCTACCCAGCTCCAGCCCAGGAGCAACAGCAGCAGCAGAAGTTCAGCAGTAGGTTTCCGTCCTGATCTTGCTGAAAGATGCTCCTACCCCAGGAGCTATGACATTGGCTCCTCCAGCCCATCTCCCACTACAGCAGCACATCACATCCTTCCCAGCCCTGTCCTCACGCTGGGTACTGCTGCCCCACACCCCTGCCCAGCTGAGGTACCCCAGGAGCACCCAGCACAGCCCCAGCCCCACGGCTCACCTGCGTGAAGGGGTCTTCAGTCTCACTAAGGCTCCTCTTGAGCTGTCGCAGCTCTCCCCCCGTCTCCTGCAGCCGGTCCTCCAGCTGCTTCACCGCATCCTCCAGGGAGTAGGTGAACTCATAGGGTGGCGGGGGCTCCCCAGGGCTCTGCAGCCGGCTCAGCGTGGCCATGCTTTTGCAGGTCAGGGGTGTCTTCTCGGGGGCCAGGGGCTCCCTGGGGCTCCGAGAGACCCTGTCCAGGGAGCCCCCGATGTGGTTGATGTGGCCCATGGAGGCACTGAACTGGCTCTGGGCAGGCTTCAGGGGGAGTAGGTGAACTCATAGGGTGGCGGGGGCTCCCCAGGGCTCTGCAGCCGGCTCAGCGTGGCCATGCTTTTGCAGGTCAGGGGTGTCTTCTCGGGGGCCAGGGGCTCCCTGGGGCTCCGAGAGACCCTGTCCAGGGAGCCCCCGATGTGGTTGATGTGGCCCATGGAGGCACTGAACTGGCTCTGGGCAGGCTTCAGGCGGGAGCCGTAGGAGGGAAAGCTCTGGACGGAGTTGTGGCTGGGGGCGGGGGGCCCCTCCCAGGCCGGGGGCGGGCGCAGCACGCTCCCACCGCACACGCAGGTGCCCAGAGCCCCAGCTCCAGCCAGACCCAAGGGCTCCCAGCCTCCGACCCCGCACCGAGGCACGGGACGCCTACAGATGTCCTCAAAGCCCTGCACCCAGCTCCATCCCCAGCATGGACCTTTTGGCTCCAGCCCCTCTTTCCCCAGGGCTGGCGGTATTTCAGGGCC